TTATTTTATTTTATTTTATTTTTATTTTTTGGTACCGGGGATCGAACTTGGGACCTTATTTTAATTTTTTTAATGTCCTCTTCCCCTCCTCTCCCTCCTAGAAGTTCTATTTGGAACTTTTTGTCTTGTTTTTATGATGGAAAATTTCAAACTTGTATAAAATTAGAGCTAACAGGATGAAAACTCCCACGCATTTATTACTCTTCAACCCTGTCCCCTGCTCCCCACCCCAAGATTTTGAGGCAAATCTCAGAAACCCTGTCATTTCGTCTGGGACTGTTCAGATCTGCCCGTTCTTGTTTCATTCTTGAGAGCTTGAATCTGTTATTCTGCCCTTTAATCGTCATAAACATCCCTATTTTGTCTTCCTTTGCGTGGCCGCAGCCTTAGGCCTCCTGTGGCATCTGTGGCAACCCTCCAACTGAGATTTGATTTTGTGGGCTCATCTTGGGGGGAGCTCATCGTGTGTGGGAATTTAGGGGGTCCCCAAGAGCCCCTCAGCATCTATATTACTGGGTGGCCCAGGGTTGTCACCTGCCGGAAGCTGATTCTCCTTCCTTGGCATAGGAACGCCAGACCACGCATGTGCACGAATGCGGACGTAAACCCACTCAGAGCGCATGAACGGGTTTGGAGTGTTCCAGGGATCCTGTTTAGCTCCCACTGCTCTTCTGCTTGAGCTCTGACAAACAACTTCCTCACTGTCTCCCTGAGCTGGAGGTGGTTCTTCCTAGCCTAGCTCACCCTGTAGAAGAGATCAGCCCTCGGAGGGCAGCTCTGCAAAGAAGTGGAGCTTCAACAACACTCCCCCTCCCTCCCGTCGGCCAAATTTATTTTCTGTCTCAACAACCAAAACCAAGGCCCCTGGGCTTCTGCCTCTGATTACCCTCCCGCTCCTTCCCCGCCTCTGTCCCCAGGCGACCATGGGGCCTGGTCACGTGATCGCCGCGCCGGTTCTGGGCCGGGCAGAGCCCTTTCTCCTTTGCTAACTCAGCCATACGCTGCCAATTTCCTTATTTATTTGGTTATGTTTTGCCCAGCATTTTTATGTTATTGTAGGGAGAGGTTTTTCACGTTATCCTAGTCAAAGAGTTTATCAGAATAGAGTTCCTCTGATTGTTAAAGTTGGTTTCATTTGCTTTGGTTTTATTTCCTATTTGCAATAAAAAAAAAACAAACTCGGAGTGATATGATTGTCATAGCATCGTGCGTAGATCAGACCCATCTGTCCCCAAAGCTACAACAGATGTGTGTCCAGGTCTGTCTGATCCTCTGCACTCTGCAGAGGTGGCCTGCTCACAGCCCTGGGCTTGCGCCATGACAAGGCTGTCTGTCGATTTTTCTTTGTGAAGAGGCAGCGTCATGTATAATTCTGATTTGTATGCCTGCCACCAAATAGCCAGCCAGCAAAAACAGCCCGAGTGTTCATAACCTGGCTCTTTTCCTAGCAAAGAAGAACTTAAGAGGTGGAGTAAATTTCACCCTGTCACTGCCACAAATCTTTCTCCCTGTGCACACTCATCGTGGGCTCCAGGAGGGTCCAGGCCTGGCCCCTGCAGCCCTGTCTCTGCCCTGCTACCAGGCTGACAAGTGGCATCAGTTGGTCCTTGTTCAGAGCTTCTTTTTTTTTGGTACTGGGGATCGAACTTGGGTCCTTGGGCTTGCGAGCAGGTGGCGAAACCACTGAGCTAAATCCCCGGCCCATGCTCAGAGCTTTTTTTTCTGAGTCGTCCTGAAGTTACTTATGGGTAACAGGTACATGGCTCTGAAAGTCCACTTTTTTGCTTTCTACATGCATGAGAATTACAGTGGACTCTTGAATTAAGATTGGTCTGAGATACGAATAACTTGGGTTACAACCGGAATTTTAGTTTTAGCTTATGAACAAAGTCTTGAACTAAAACCCGAATGTTGGCCGCTTGTGCTTCCAGATGGTCTCAGATACAGATTTAACCCTTAAAGAGTTCTGGAAGGAACATGACAACATCCTTTCCTGTGTGGGGTTAATTGAGAAATCCTGGGCCAGTGTCTTTCTAAGGACACTGAAGTCTGCCTGTATGCAGGAGAGAGACTTTGAAGTCAACTGACCAACCTGAGTTACAACTAGCCCTCAGGAGTGAATTGAGTTTGTAAGTCAAGGGTTCACTGTACATGGAAAACCCTGCTTGGGCACCACAGCTCTGAGCTAGTCTTCCCTGTGAGCTTAAAATTCTTTTTTATCCTTTATTTTTGAGACAGGGTCTCACTATGTAGTCCAGGCTGGCCTTGAACTCACTATGTAGCCTAGGCTGGCCTCAAACTCTGAGCAATCCTCCTGCCTCAGCCTCTCAAGTGCTCGGATTACAGGCGTGCACCACCAGGCCCAACAAGCCTTAACTTTCAGCCACATTGAATTTCTCACTATTCCTCCCAGCACCACCCTATTTATGGCTCCTGTAATTTTGCATCATTGTCACTTCTCCCCGGGATGTCCCTGTGGCTACCTCCTCGCAGCCACCTAGTTATCCTATAAGGGTGAGCTCCAACCCCGTTCTCGCCGGCAAGTTCCCGTGTCCCTCCATGTCCCAATCCACCGCAGCTCTGTCCCATCACACGGACGGCCCCTTCATGGCATTGACTCCTGGACTGTGCGTGTCATCTCCAAACCTCCAAGACCTGCCTGGCCCTTAGGTGACGCTTGGCCCCTGTGACTTCTTGGGCCACTGATCAACTGTTAGGTACTCGTCCTGTTGTGCGTAGGTGCAGCAGCCAGTGAGGGGGGATCCGCGCAGGCTCACAGAGAACTCTAGAAAATCGGGGTGTAACCCTCCCTTGCCCCCACCTTAAGTCTTTTTTTTTTTTTTTGGTACCAGGGATCGAACTTGGGTCCTTGCGCTTACGCAGCAGGCGGCGAAACCACTGAGCTAAATCCCTGGCCCCTTAAGTCTTGACCTCTGATTTAGTGATAGGCAATTTAGCCAGAACCACTTTCCTTGTCTTTGCAGAATGTTCCTTTACTAAAGTAGCTGTCCCTGGGAGACGGGAACAAGGGGACGGTGTGTGTAAGAGAATGGCCAATTAACATTCTGCTAAGAGAGAATGATCTCTGCTATCAGCAGTAAAAACTGACAGCTCTATCAGAAAATGAGCGGGGGTGGGGGAGACGGGCGGTGGCAAGGGAGGCGGGAGCTGCAGTGACAGCGATGGCCCCAGGCAGGGGCCCTGGGAGCCAGCTCTCTGGGCACCCGAAGCCAGGGCTTCTCCCCCTCTCTGATCGCCTCGGCAGGAGACTAGGGCTGCTCAGGTTTTCAGCCCGCAACTTCGAGCTCGGACTGGCTCCCCGCACGCACGCACGCTCCTTTCCTCTGACCCAATCGTAAAAAGAGCCCACGTGGTGTCTATTTAAGGCAGCGGAGTGGTCTGGGGAGAGGAGCCTCTGGGCGCCAATTCCAGGGCTGATGAGATTCCTGGGCCGTGGAGCTGCACCTGCTGTGAATGAGTGAGCAGGCCGGACAGGGCAAGGACAAGGGCTCCCCAGGCACCAAGGCCAGGGGCCTCCTCCGTGCCCCGGAGGTGAAGGGTGACATAAATCAGAGCTTCCACACTGGATCGTGGATCGTGCTGCCGCCGCTGTCTAGGGCTCCTGCGTGGCCTTGAGAGGAAGTGCACAGAAAGAAGAGGGGAGAAAAATACTCTCATCGGGCTAGGAAGACACAATGATCCGCTGTTAGAAATGAAACTGTTAACTGGGGGTGCAGCACAGGCAGGCCCTAGGTTCAAATCCCCAGCACCAGCAAAAAACGTAAGTAAAATACACACATATTTGTGTAGGTCTGTATATACATATGTGTATAGAAATGGATTTGATGTGTAAGTGTGTTGCTAAAAGGAGACCAGGAAGGCACAGCGGGAGAGCTCTGGAGTAGAGCAGCTTGGTTGTTTTAATTGGAAACAGTGAGTTTGCACACAGTTCTGCCCCATGTCCCCTCCCAATAATGAAAATGAAAGATGCAGGGGCAAGGGCAGAGTCTTGAGGTCTCCCAGACATCCACACACCCCTCCTAGGGCCTAGGAAACAAAAGCAGTCTCTCGAGGCTGTGTGCAGACCCCCGTGCCCCAGAGGCCCGTAATCCACAGACTGGGAGGGGTCAAAGTAACCAGACCAGGCCCAATGATGTCCTCTCTCCTCTCCTCTTCGGGACGTGGTTTTCTCACTCGCTCCCGTGTGCTTTGGAAGTCAGAGTTTTGTTGTTGTTGTTTTGAGACAGAGTCTCGCTGTATTATCCAGGGTGACCTCGAACTCACAGCAATCTTCCTGCCTCAGCCTCTGAGTACTGGGATTACTGGTGTGCACCACCACACCCAGCTAGAAGTCAGATTTTTAAATCGGGTCTCATGTCCAAAATGATCTACTTTTAAAAATACTTAGTAGGGTAGATATAAAAAAGCAGTAAACTTAAGGCCTTTAATATTCCAGAATTGATTCCAGATAAAATCACCAAGAAGTTCTGATACGTTCACGGGTATCTCACAGTTATTAGAAGGCATTGTTCAAGACACATTGCTGATTTTAGGGGTTAACAGCAAGGAAATTCTAACTGTGGTGACAAATAAATGCCCAAATAGCAATGACTCAACTCAAAAGACACGTGTCTCAACCACATAACTGTCTAATATGAGTGTTAGTGGTTGGTGGGTTCTTCCCTCCATAGAATGACAGGGAGCCAGGCCCCTGTCTGTTCTGGAGTGATCCCCAGGCTTGCCTGATCCACTAGGGGAAAGAGACAGGGAGGAGAACATCTACTTCCTAACTGCATTGGCCTGAGCAAGGCTGATTCACTATTCAAAATCAGCTCAGGTGGGGCTGGGATGTGGCTTAGTCAAAGCAAGTGTCTGGCATGTGTGAGGCCCGAGCTCCATCCTGGAACTGCAAAAACAAACAAAAATTCCTCAAATCAATAATGTAATCTACCATATCGACAGGCTAAAGAAGAAACTCTATGATCATAGGAGTGGATACAGAAAAGGCATTTGACAAAATCCAACATTGGTTCATCTTTTTTTTTTGTACTGGAGATCAAACTCACAGCCTTTTGCTTGGGAGGTTGATGCAGTGCCATTGAGCCAAGTCCCCAGCCCCCTGTTCATCATTTTTACAAAAGAGAACTCAGCAAGCTAGAAATTGAGGAGAGAGCTTGATACAACCTGACACAAAGCATTATCTGAAAAAATCTACAACTAATCCAACAAATTTTAATCTGTTGTATTTTCCTTTTTGGTCAGTTCAAAGATTTTCAATTTACTCTTTTTTTTTTTTCGGGGCGGGGCGGTACTGAGGATGGAACTCAGGACCTTGTGCTTTCGAGGCAGGTGTGGCGCCAATGAGCTAAATCCTCGGCCTCTTTAATTTTTCATTTCTATTTTTCTTTTCTTTTTTTTTTTTTTTTTTTGGTACAGGGGATCGAACTTGGGCCCTGGTGCTTGCGCAGCAGGCAAAGAAACCACTGAGCTAAATCCCCAGCCCTTCAATTTACTCTTTCATTTCCTTTTTGACCCATGTGTTATTTAGAATTGTGTTATTTGGGTGTTTTCAGAGATTTTTTGGTTATTAATTTGTAATTCAATTCTATTATTTTAAGTGAGCATCCCTGAATGACAGGAATCCTTTCAAATGCGAATAGCTTCAAGTATTGTCTACCTTGAGAAATGTTCTGGGTGAACTTGACAAGAAGGATGTGGATTCTGCTATTGCTGGGAAAAGTGTTTATGAATGTTGATTCGGTCAGGTTGGTTGATAATGGTCGAATTTCTTATATACGTACTGGTTTTCTGTTTCCTTGTTCTATCATTTATTGAAAGCAAGGTACTGAAATCTTCAACTCCGATTGTCAGTTTAGCAATTTCTGCCATTCAATAATCTTTTGGCTTCATGAATTTTGAAGGTCTGTTATTAGGTGTGTAAATAGAATGAACTGACTCTTTCGTCATTATTAAATTACTTTTTAAAATCTCTGCTAATATTCTTTGCTCTAAAGTCTACATGGTCTGCTACTATTAAACCATTTCAGCTTTTTAGACTAGTGATAACATGGTATATCTTTTCCCACCTTTTAACTTATTTCCCCTTACTTTTTTGGGGGGCGGTACTGGGGATCAAACTCGGGACCTTGCACTTGCGAGGCAGGTGGCAGAACCACTGAGCTCAATCCCCGGTCCCAATTTTTCCTTACTTTTAACCTATTTCTGCCTTTATATTTAAAGTGTTTCTTATAAATGACATACCAGATCTTGTTTTAAAATCCAATCTCTGCCCTTCAGTTTAGATATTTAGACCATTCATATGTAATGTGACTATTGATATGACTGAGTTTAAATCTAATTACTTGTTATCTATTTGTCCTACCTATTCTTCTTTCCTTTTTCCTCTTTTTCTGTCTTCTTTTGGTGTAAATATTTTGTGTGGTTTTTATTTTTTTGGTACTGGGGATCGAACTCAGGTCCTTGTGCTTGCGCAGCAGGCAGCCGAAACCACTGAGCTAAATCCCCGGCCTTTTTGGTGTAAATATTTAAAATGATTCTATTACCTCTCATATGTTGCCTTATTAGTTAAAACTCTTTCACTACTTTAATGGTTGTTTTAAGGCTTATAGTACAACTTCAACTAATCACAGTCTACTTTTAAGTGCTACTGTATCATTTCATATAAAGTATAAGAACCTTACAATGGAGTATTTCCATTTCTTCCCTCCTAGCTATTAAGAAACCATGAATTCCTAGCATTATCTACAATTTCAATCCAGTACAACAAAGTTTATTCTGGCTTCTCTTTTTTCATATTTGTATCTCCTTTCTCTCTGTCTCTCTCTCTTTTTTTTTTTTTTTGGTACCAGGGATCAAGGTCAGGACCCTGTGCTTGCCAGGCAGGCTCTGTGCCACTGAACTGTGTCTCCTTTCTCTAACTCCCATTATTTCAATCCCTCTGCATGGCCTCTCTCAGTTCACTTGGATGTGGGGCCTGGTCTACCCCACAACCTACCTTGTTCAGATCTGCCTAGTGGCTTTTGGATGAAGAGAGGAAGGAAAGGTAACGAATAGTTTATAAGGTAGGGTAATGTGTTAGCCAACTTACTATCACTGTGACAAAATGCCTGAGGTAAACAGCTTCTAAGAAGGAAAGGTTGATTCAGGCTCACAGTTTCAGAGGTCTCGATCCACGGTTGATTGGCAGTGTGGCTCTGGGCCTGCAGTGAGGCTGTGTGTCATGGCGTGAACACACAGGAGACACTGTTCACCTCAGGACAGCTGAATGACAGAGACAGGGAGGGGCTCAGGTCCTGCTGTCCCCTGTGAGGTCACATCCCCAGTGACCTAATTTCCACTTCTTAAGGCTCCATCGCCTCCAATAACGCCATAGGCTGGGGTCCGCACCTGTAACACGTAGTCTTCAGGGATGCACCCAAGATGTGCGGAGAGGGGTTCAATAGTCTGTCAGAGTGTCCTGCTTTCTAGCACAGCGAGGTGCTCCAGGCTCCTTTGTCCTGTTTTCCTGTCCAATCCTGGAAGCCTCCCAAGGAGCCCTGGTCCCTTTTATTGGAAAATGGTATTTGGAGACCACAATCCATAAGTTAAGTTCTCTGCTGCTGGTAGGGTATTAGTCTCTAGCCATTTTTGGTGGATAAAGCTGGGAAATACTTTTCCTTTCAAAGAGAAAATGCATAATGAGTTTGTGCTCCTATTTCCAGCTTAAATTTAAGATGACAGGGCTTGTACATAACTTCTTTGATTTTCTATTTGTTTCTCTTTTATGCTGAAAAACCTTGCTCCCTGAGGACACTAATGTAATTACTCTTTTGCTTTACCCATACCTAATGATAATCAATAGGTTACATAATCTGCACAATGTTATGTACAACATAGTCTATTTAGGCTGTGCCATGAGCTTCATATAGGAGCCAGTGGGACCCTGGGCCTGGAGGGACCCTGGACCTCCTGCCATGCTGTTTCTGAGTTGGAGCTGCCAATGTGGGCTGAAACTTCTGAAATGGGCTCATAATTACAAGTTCGCTTTTAGTCTCAGAGGATACATTGGCTGGACTTGGGCTTTTCAGCAATGCTTGGAAACCTTAAGACTGGCAAAACATAGAGATGGGCTGAGTGCATTGTGCCTAAAGGCATGCACTGAGTCCTGGGGGCTGGAGAGAGAAGGTGAGGGTTCAGACCTGGGATGTTCCTGAACAGGCTCTCGTCAGAGGCAGGGGTTCTGGAAGGTGGGGCCCGGCCAGAAGAGGTGGGTCACTGGGGGTGTCACCCAGAAGGTTGAACAGTTCTCAGTGAAAAATGAGAATTCTCAAACTCTGCTTGAAACAATGTCTTCAAAAGATAGCTCAACAGGGGCTGGGGATGTAGCTCAGTGGTGCCATGCCTACCTGGCAACCGCAAGGTCCTGAGTTCAATCCTCGGTACCAAAAGAAAAAAAAAGATAGCTCAACAATTTCTAAGTTAAGCGTGTACCAACCATGCAATCTGGAAAAGTCACACCTCCGGGTTTTCCCCTGGGAAGTCAGAGTCTCTACCCACAAAGACGAGTACAAGAACGACTGCAGCAGGTTTATTTTTCAGAGTTAAAACATCAGAAGATGGGCATCAGAAGATGGGCACACGGACAGTTTGGGATTCATCCACACCATAGCCTGAGGTAGCTCGACCAGTGACAAGGAGCATGTCACACAAAGGCCATTAGGTTACACAGGTGCAACAAGCTCTGCAAAAGCAACAAAAGTACACAAGCTGAGCAGTTACTGC